CCCCCCCCGACAAGACCCTCCATTTTTCCATCGTCCTCCCCAACATCATTTCCCTTGCATACTATGTCATCCGCCCAAAAATTAATCTCTTAAGAGCGCTTTTCGATTGAGTGTTGTAAAACCAAAACCAAGGTAATTACAATGGCCAATCAAAAGAAAGGAAATACAGCGTACCTTAAAGAGCCAATGAGAACTCGAAATGAAACCAACCAAAGTGCCCAAAGCGCGGGAAGACGAGGGCGACCAAGTCGTGATTGGTTTTAGTTTTGTATCTGATTTGTTGAGGGATTGGCACTTGTAAAGTAAAAGTAAAGCAAAAACAAGGCAGGAAGTACTTTCGACTCTTAACTGAAAATAACTCCGATCTTAATCCTCTCTTGATCATGATTTATTATAAATCCTTCTTGGTCCTCTTGTTTTTGTTGTTGTTATTGTTGTTGTTGCTGGTGGCGGTGCTCAATTTATTGCCCTCAAATGATAGAGAAGACGACGATGAATCATGTACTGTAATCCAATAAACGTCATGCCAAGATACTGAGAAATCCGTCGCTTTTTAAGCAAGCGTACAGGGTTCATTGAAGTCCAAAGGCGCAATGTAACATGTTTTTCGTGGTGTTTCAGATCAAAGACAGACGTATGAAAAAACAACAAAAACGGAAAGAAAAAGAAAAAGCCAAACAGAAAAAAAGAACCGTACCAGAGAAAGTGTCCGTGGCCCCTTCTACCTTGGGGGGTAGGGTGGGAGAGATGGTAGATCGGTACCGAAAGATGACCATGAAGGAGTATAACGATGTGGTGGAACTTTGCCATATGCACGGGGTACAGCTAAGTAAAGATCTTCTGGAGCGAGGTTAGATTGTGTTTGAGATTATTACTTTTGTTTTCATATGGCAAGTTAGTCTTAAGGTAAATCCGTGCGTTCTGATTGGTTCTTAGTTAATCGCGATTTTGCCAAACGGACCGTTTCCACGGAAATTTCTCCATAATGCCTGCTTTTCTTCGTGTAAGCTGTGAACTTTAGTCCAACGATGGACATTATCGTTCTCTGGCTTGTCTCTTCTTTCTAATGCTATTGTTTAAGTTATCTTTTTATTTATGTTTTTCCAGTTCTCCTTCAACCAGAAGACAAACCGCTGTCACAGATAAAGCTGACCGCGCGAAAACCTGGATTCTTCTCAATCTCCACAAGGCATCACATACCACAAGTTAAGTTCCAGTCTTCTACAGCTGGAAGCAACCAGAGACGGCCGAATTTTACAAACCCGGGTCCAAACACGTGACAAGTGACTTTCAGTACCAAACGATCAAAGTATATATACAAAACAGTGAATTCGATACAGACAATGTAGGTATACACGGTAGATCAAAAACAATATGCTAGTTTTTTGGTAACTTTGTAAGTCATAGTACTCGAAAGATAATAACTATAATAAAAAACATCAAGTTGATAAGAACGCTGTTGGTTTGAAGTTAGTTTCGTTCAAAATATATTGGGGAATTTAAATATCTCCGTTTATCCTGACCCGTGAGGTATGATACTGTTGAGGTTACAGGTGCCTATTGCATTGCTGCAAGTGTGCGTTCTTTGTGCATTATTTTATATTATTATTCAGCTTGCATGCAGTGTACGAATTTCGAATTTTCTGATTGGCTAATTTGTATCACGTGATACTGGGTTGTGACGAAACTACTTCCTTGACGTTATTATCGTGGTGTAAGAGCCGTGGTATAAATTAAACGCACCACAGTCATTACACCATGGCTGCGGTTGACTCGAAAGTTTGACGATGTGTCAGATGCAGACATTGATTCTATTATTGATGACGCAATTCCTAAAAACACCAAGAAAGTAACTGCTTGGGGAATATCTGTTTTGAAAGGTAAGGTTGCGAATTTTCAATTTTTCATTCAAGTTAGTTGAGGTGTTCTGCGTGTTGTCAACAGTTTGGCCAGCTTTGTTCAATGCAGCGAGTCTTTGTGCAGTGTATTCAGTTTGAATGATAAAAATGTAGACGCAGCATTGTTCATGAATTAGCAGGATTCACCTGTACTTGTTCACAAACACTGAATTCGAAATTTTCAATACCGCCCCTGGCAAAGCCTCGTACGGTATTGAAATTCCTCGTTCATTGTTGGTGAACTCGTGCAGGTCAATCCGGACAATTCACTCGCTGAGTACGTTAACCTGTAAATCATGTTTGAGGGAGGTCTTTAGTATGTCAAAAATTTAGGCAAAGGTTTTATTATTAAACCCACGTAGCCAACCCTTAAAGGATTACTTGATTTTCTTTTTGCAATACGTGTGTATGTCGCGTTTCGATGCGTGGAAAAGTTAGTATTAAAAACAATAATAACAATGCTTATGACAGTGATGGTAATGATACTAATATTTGAAAAATTTATGTATCAATAATTAAAGTGCACCTAAACCCAAAAATTTTTTTCGCTTAACGAAATAAGCGTATTTTTGGAGTATTTCTGTGCACAAATTTTTTTATTTGCTCAAATTTGCAAGAGAGTATCGCGCTTCATACATTCCTCATACAACACACCTAGGCGGCATATTTCGGACAATATCGACGACAACCTTCTCAAACAAGTGAAAATGTGTGAAATGCAGGCTTTCGTATTCTCGATTTGACGTCACATTACCCGCTAGAGCCATTCCTCTTTAAACTCGGTCGTGGGGAAAGATGGCGGCTGATTTTTCGTATTTTCACTGGGCACAGAATATTAAAGATTTGAGCAAATAAAAAAATTTTTGCACAGAAATACTCCAAAAAATAAGCTTATTTCGTTAAGCGAAACAAAATTTTTGGGTTTAGGTCCACTTTACAGGAACGCTTAATTTCCGCCCACAGCCAGTTGCAAGCATCAAATTTGAGAGTATGAGGCAGGTGTTACTCACGAGGATCTCTTCCGTAATTTGAGAATAAATTTTCTTAGAATGATCATCAAAACAAGGAAGCAGTTTCTGAAATGGTTTGTCGAACCTACCTACAGCACGTAGTTTACACTGAAACACAACATTTATCCCGCCTTAGCTGAAAGGTAAGTCCTGAAAAATCATGTTGCGTCATTTAAGTATACTAAGAATAGTCTGAAGCTAACTGAGCTGGTTCACCCTCCCTGAAGGTCAATTACAGAACACGTGAATTAATCTTCCACATCTTCTTTCATGGAGATGCCGCAGAAATAATTTTTTTCACCATGTAAATCTTGTGCTTTTGCTTGTGCTTTTGAACAGTTCACACTGTGATCAAATGTCGTATGACACATTTGGCAAACAAGCTAGATTTGTGAAAGTCACCAATATCCCATGAAGTGTGTCTTTTCTCGGGATATTTGTGGGTTTTAATTCACCGCATACGCAGTTCTTTAGGATGTAACGCGACGCTTGTAACACTAAAGGTCTGCGTGACAACCCAGAGAACAGCTGGGAAGGAAATCACCTCTCCGCCTTGCAGCTTGGTAAATATGTTCAACTCCAACTCTTTGGGTTGTTATTACATTTTGCACAATTAAAACATCTTTGGAACATTTTCAAGATTTTTCCCGTTCGTGAATTTGTAAAGTCGAGGCTAAGATAGGAACTTGAATGAAACACGGAAGACGTTTTAGGAAACTTGTATTAGGGACCTTAAGCCAAGCACAATTGCGACGGCATCGAGGTCGTGGCAAAATAACAGATCGTATCGACAGATCAATTGGTCAGCACGTGCGTTTTACAACTTTGTACAAGAAACATCTCACAGCCGTCCTCTGAAAAACAGCAACATGAAATCAGCAAAATTTGCATAGTGCAAGAGCGAAAAACCCCGACAGCAAATTTCCATTTGAGTTTCCATTTGGAACCATACCCTGCCACTTGCGAAGTCCCAACAAACAATGTAAATTCATTAGTCGACGTCGATCGCGGCGTTGCAGTCCTGACTGCATAAGGTCCCTATTTACCCGGCTGCAGTAAGCCGGCTGTCTGCGAGATGCTACTGTAACAGTAAGTTATTGGCCATAGATTCTGAAAAACGTCGGGCTTTGCGTCAACTGGTTAGCTATGCGTGCTTTGGCCATTTGTACAGAATTTTATCATGTCTGTAATTTATATATTTATGGTGTCCACGTTTAATCAAAGAGAGAAACATGGTTTAGATCATGATGGAATCTGGGGTCAGTGACTCAATACTGTATCAATCAGCATCGAAAAAACAAAAAAACAAAAAAAGATGTCAACAATCTTCAACTGGAGCACGTAAGTTCGTTCCGCAAAAGCTGAAGGGTAAGCGAACTGAAACTCGCCTATAAAATTCCGTTCAAAAAGGTTTCAGGACTTAGACGTTTTGGGCAGTAGAAACTGAACATTATGAATGGAGAAGTTATTTCACTTCTAGCGACGGGCGCTTTTCTTTTCTTAATAACCTTAAGACCTTCTAGGGCCGGTCTCCTCTCCACATCGCTTCAGTTCACCCGCGATGCCTTAATGGGTTTCTCACACGGATCGGAAAGAAAAGTGGAAATACTCACAGCGAAGAGGACGAAAAAGATTATCAGTCCCTTTGAGCAATGGAGGGAGATAATTAAAAATCTAGGGATGAATAAAGGACCAAGGGATCCTAAGAAGTTGGTAACTGTACCTACTTTTCCTAAGAAAGCGATTACTCGAGAAGAAATTAGCTATGAAAAGGAGAGCAAGACTTACAGACCACGCATCTCACCATCGAACAGGTTCCTTGAAGCCATCAACGACATTGAACGAGCTGTGGCTAAAGCAAAGGCTTCAGGATTCCGTTACAGGAAAGGATCCTTCAATAAATTGAAGGGACTGTTAGCGCGAGCGATAAGAGGTAAGAGCTACAAATATGCCCGCGAAGTCCTGGGCAGGATCATGTATCTCTTAAGCACAAAGTCGTCGGCATTGCGACGAAGGAAGAGAAGCACCTCAGGGAACAAAACCACCCCGGCAATGAGAGGAAGCAATTTCCTTCAAGATCTACGGAAGCAAATCGGCGCGTTGACGTTTGATAGCTTCATGGCTGTCCAAGGTGACGTGTCACTGATGTTTGCCATTGATGACACCGGAAGTATGAGAGAAGAAATTCAAGCGGCTAAAAACATCGCCATAGACATCATAAATTATCCTCGCAATGCCAGTGTAAAGAGCTACATTTTGTCGCCTTTCAACGACCCATACCCGGGTACGTACAATTCATTGTTTGTTTGTCTTTTTATAATTGAATAAGCCGCTGACTTAGGGACCGAGCCTTATTTATCGCAGAAGGGAGACGAAGGGGAGGGGCGGTTTGGGGAATTTTAAAACAATCGCCTGGTTTTCAAGGGGAAAGGAGGGGAGATCAGTCGCCTCCAATAGAGTATAAATGGAGGACTATAGACAGTGGACGGCCAATTAACTGCCAGTTTGGTTGGGGAGTATTACAGCATATTTCAAAGGGACACAAACAAAATCCTCACCCCTCAGTCCTAGGTGATAAATAATTACTATACCTTTAAACATAGGTTAAAGTGACATCCGTACCTGGTACGCGATATGCAAAAGAGAACAGGCAAGCCACCCTCTCTTTCAGCCTCACGATGAAAATTTGACAATCTTTAACTCTATGATACGTTTAAATGCTGTGCGAGTTGGCTCAACGTCATTATTGTTAGTGGCTGATCTTCCTGCCGAGTGGTAATCGAAAACGAACCTCAGGCGGGAGGGGTGGGGGAGGGGGAAATCTTTCAGGCCCTTCGCCAATTCTGAAGAAGTGAATTTAAACAGATTTGCATTTCAATATTTTGCAGTGAAATCGGCAGTCATAAAGAAAAATGAAAGCAATGCTGGTGAGTTCGTAAAAGCCATCAATGCTCTTACAGCCTATGGCGGTGGGGATTGTCCGGAGTATACATTCACGGGGATGCTGGAAGCACTCTACCATCAGCCAGAATGGGGATCTCCCATGTACGTCTTCACGGACGCAGGCCCAAAAGATGCATCAGAAGAGAACATCGAAGAACTTCGGTACCTAGCTGGTTCAGATGCGTTTGGGGTGACAATCAATTTTTTGACCACAGGTAAAGAAGTGTAATCATCAGTAAGTATTTGCATTCTTGTTCGCAAACTATCTGCCAGGCTGCATGTCTGACTGACAGACCGTAAGAGAGGATAAGGTATCGTCTCTTGCAGACCGCAGACCTACAGACCTACAGACCTACAAACCAACAGACCCGCAGACTAACAGACCGACAGTCCGACAGAGTGACAGATAGACAAAACGACGGACTGACAGATTAACTACCGATAGGTGGACAGACCGACAGACTAGCAGACTGATAGAGTAAGTAACTAACCATTTGAGTGAATGACTGACTGACTGATTGGCTAATTTCTGATTGGTTGATCAATCTGTCCGTCGGACAGACAGATTGATCAACCAATTGATCATTTCAGCGATTGACCGGGTAATGGTGGATTCACTAATCTATCGATCGGTTGTTTTAGGTTTCTGTCACACTCATATCCACTCAGCCTTCAAAGATCTCGCTGAGCTGACCTCAGGTCAGACCATTTCTTTTAAGAAAGACGGGGAACTGGAAAAGCTTAGTAATCTGACAGCAAGTGTCCTTGGTGGGACGAGTACTGTCAGTAGCGGTTCAAGCGTACGACACAAGAAGAAACGGAGCCTAAAAGATACAACACCCAGTCGATATAACTTTCCAGTTGATGAGTCCATTGAAAAATTGACTGTAACAGTAAGTACTACACGCCGAGAAACAAATGGTCAGTAAGTTTTTTATTTCTCTGATAATCTTACGCTCTTCATTAGCCTACAGAACAGGCGTAATTTTGGCAGGGTAGTTCTTAGTTTTATCTTTTTCAAATTATAGCTGCCACCTTTGATTTTTACAGCAGTGGAAGGTTGGATAGAGAAATAATTTTTCTTACAAGGGGGGGTGAGTGGTCAAAAAGACGAGGAGGGGGAGGGGATGGGGCTAATGGCGATCGCGAGCTTCTCAGTGCTCTCTCGCCCTAATAAGGACGCCTGCTATTATATGATGTTCACCAAAGGTGAAGCTGCGCTCAAGAACCGCAGACACGTACCCCGAGGCCATTATTATATCATGTTTTACAAAAAAGGAGTTAGTTCATAAATTGTCAGTTTTTCATATCAATCACAAGGGAATTTTGCAAGAAATCCTTCTACTTGTTTTCTTTTTTCCTTTGTTGTTGTTGTTGTTGTTGTTGGTTTTTTCTTTTTTAATCAGTACCTTCACTTCTTGGAGATTGTGAGTGATTAAAATAGATGAACTCGATAATAATGTATTAAAATCCCCAAAGTTGCTATCTGCCTTATTTTTAATCTACGAGTTTAAAAAGTGTAAGGGTCTATCACTTCTAACGCCCTTTTTTATTTATTCGTTTACTAATATCTTTGTCTGTTACCCGTATACTACTTGCTGTATTACTTTTTGCATACTCACTTTTGAGTTTTTTTTTTTTTTTTAAACCAGGGCAAGGAATCACCTTAACAGACCCCGATGACATCGAGATTTCAGCTGAAAAGCTTAGTCTGTCCCAGATCTCTATCTATCAGATCGACCACCCTAAGAGAGGAGGCTGGACCCTGGCTGTGTCAGGTGACCACGAGTTTCAAGTTAAGTCGAGCAGTGAAACGAATGTCGACTTCGAGGTATATTTCATTATTCCAATACGGGGAAGGAGGAGACAGACAACAGAAGTGCCTATTTCCAACCCAGTTATAGGTAAGTTTTGTTTATGATCAGAGCAATTTTCGACAGCCCATTTCCGAATTAGCTTTAGCCTCTTTTTCAAAGCGAGTCCTGGTGCTCATCCTTGCCTTTGATGATACGTTTTCATTCGCATGCAGATAAAACTCATTTTCACAAGAATGGTCGAGCACTAGGCCTCGTTTTGAAAAAGAGGCAGCAAAGGGTTATTCAGACATGGCCTATTGAGTGTTGAATGTAATCCGGGACTTTACTATGGTCTTTGGTTAGTCTAAAATAACTTGCACCATACTCAACTTCAAGTTAATGACGAGCAATCCTGTTTTTCTTGAAGGTAAACTGAATAAGATGCTCATCACTGTCGCTGGTTCTGAAAAGCTCAACACCAGCTCGTTACACTTAGAACTCATCACCCCTGAGGGAGCTAGGATCAGTGACGTCACGCTGCAAACAACTGACAAAGTCCATTTCACCGCAAGCTTCACGCCTCTCACGAGTCAGCCATTCAAACTCCGGCTCAGCGGTATTACTCGTGGCGGGAACACTTTTGAGAGAATTTCTCGCCAGAAGATCAAACCCTCCAGTACTCTGCTCAGAGTGAAACACGCCAGTAATGATTACACACTTCCTTTAGGAAGAGTCACGTTTGTTCATTTTGAGATCTGCAACTTTGGTGCCACCGAGTATTTTGACGTGACGGTCGTGAAAGATCGGATGGGTTTGATCATTACCCAACGAATTTCACCAAAACATGTCATTCAAGGTCACTGCGCGATTATATCCGTCCGTGCCAGAGCCACTCGCCCCCAGGACGTGGACAAGACCGATAACGTATTTTTGATCGCTAAGGGTCGCTCATCAAAAGTTCTTGCTTCACAAGGAGTGCGCCTTTTTATTGTACCCTGAGCAGAGATTTTGTAAATCAACCAGCTATTCCATTTCCATGAATTCAAAATATTCCACTAAATTTTAGACAGGCAAGATCTCTGAATGAATTGAAGGGACTTTCAAGAAATCACTAGAATTATCATTGATTAGCTAAAAAGGCTATCGAGAAAATTAAGAGATTTTATCAATTAGTTATTTAGCATAGTCTGCTTTACAGTGGTAAAAACAATTAAATTTTAGTTCTTAGCATCCTATATCTGATAAGTTTTCAATCTTATTTCGCATTGTTTGCTGAAATGTGATTATAATAGCGATGAAATTTTCGCTCTTACTATCCTCTGCCTGATTAGTTTTTAATCTTAAATAATAAAAAAAGAAAAAAAAAAAGGCATACTTTGAGAAATTTTCAGAATTAAGTTGTTCGACATTAATCATAAACAATCACAAATGCTACTGAGTTATGGTGTTATCAATCCGAATAAATTAATGTCTGACAAAAGCTCAAAATAAGAAAAACAAAACGGTGAATTGACCGGATACCCGTCATGAATAAGCCTTGTGCTTAAAAGTCTCAAGTTTTTCTTTCCCTACCCTTATTTCCTTTCACAGATTTCACAAACAAAATATAGCTACAAAGTATATTTAAAAAATTGGACGGGAGAGAGGGGCAATTAAGACAGTCATTCAAGCATAGGTTACCCTCAAAATACAAAACACCTTAGTTTCTTAAGGAGGGTATTTGGTAGACATTTGATATGATATTCTTTTCCATTCTCACGTAGACGAAATTCTTTCTTACTTGTCTTAGCCTTATTTTGTGTTGTGCGAGAGGTCGAGGGTTCGAGCCTCGGCCGGACCAATACTCATGGCCTTAAAATAACTGAGGAAAATTTGCTACCTTTCTATAATATAAAGAAATGGATAGATATTCTAATCTTCTCGAATAAGGACGAATAAACCGTAGGCCCCGTCTCCTGCAGGGTTAGGGGTAGGAGACGTTAATTTCCTACGCACGAGATTACTGTGTGGTGGATGTCCTCCCTTGGGGTGGAATGGGTGGGTGAAGGTGAGATCGTTACATGGACTGTAGCGGCTGCCAGAGGCGCATGATATGCTGACGTTCGACCTCAACCTTAACAACAACATTTTAAGCGCTATTGATCAGTATATGTAAATATGGGCTATATAAGTTAGTAATTATTAATTTTGCGACTAGCCCTTCTGTATTATTTATTTCAGGATTTACTACTATTTGAAACCCTGAGAATAAGCTTTTGTTCCCTACCTTGACAAGAAATGATATGTATTTTGCCATAAATATTAATTAACCTCACCAGAAAGAGGCTGCAGCCGATTTAACACCACCTCTGCCCTCCTTTGTCTTGGCTTGGCGGACACCGATGTATCTCTTTTTTCCTAATGCCACTGTTTAAGTTATCTTTTTATTTTTCGATTCATTTTTTCCCAGTTCTCCTTCAGCCAGAAGATAAACCGCTGTCGTAGATAAAGGTGACCGCGCGAAAACCTGGACTCTTCTCAATCTCTACAAGGCACACGTACCACAAGTTAAGTTCCAGTCCTCCACTGCTGGAAGCAACAAGCGGCGGCAGACGTGACAAATGACCTTCAGTATGAAGTGGTCAGAGTTTTGTAGAAACAGTGTGTAAACCACTAATATAATGTAGATATACTTGGTAGATCAAAAACAGTATGCTAGTTTTTCGGTCATACTATAAATCAAAGTACTCGAAGGATAATTTCTATAAGAAAAAAAAATTATCAAGGTTAGAGGAACGCGGGGTATGGGTTTGTTTCGTTGAAATTGTGTTAGGGAATTTAAATGTCTTCGTTTATCAAAATCCGTTAGTATGGTGTTAGTGGAGGTTACAGGTTTGCATTGCACTGCTGGAAATGTGCGTTCTCAGCGCATTAAAGTAACATTTGAGTTTAAAAACTCAAATAAAAGGTTCGATGAAAATCTTAAAGTTTTGTGTGCAAAAATTTCAGACAATTATTTATACCTGTGAAGCTAAGGCTTTAAAGGATGATTTGATTTTACTTTTTGCAATAAAAGTGTGAATGTCACGTTTCGACGCGTGGAAAAATTAATATTAAAAACAATCATAACAATGCTTATGACAATGATGGCAATGATAATAATATTTAGTATATATATATATAATATATTAAATATTATCATTATCGCCATCGTTGTCATAAGCATTGTTAGGATTGTTTTTATTACATATATACATCAAAAATTAAAGTACAGATTCTGCTTAATTTCGGCCTACAGCCAGTTTCAAGCATCAGATTTGAAAGTAGGAGGCAGGCTATAGCTAAAGCAAAATAACAGAGGTGCCAGGGCTCACAAGGATCTCTTCCCGTAATTTGAGAATGAATTTCCTTGATATGATCATTAATTGCAAAACAAGGAAGTAGCTACCGTAATGGTTTGTGGAACGTACCTACGCACGTAGTTTTCACTGAAACACAACATTTATTCCGCCTTAGCTGAAAGATTAGTCCAGAAATTTCGCAATTCGTGTGATGTAATTTAAGTATATGACTTAGCCAGTTTACCCTCCCTGAAGGTCACGCGTAGAACCCGTGAATTTCCACCTTCTCTTTCACGGAGACGCCGCGCCATATAATAATTTAAGGACCCTTCTGTAAACCACTTCGTGACGTCGACATCCTCGTTAAAGATTACTAATATCAATGTTTTTGTGCTTTTGGCCCAGTTCCCACTGTAATAAAACGTATACAAGCTTTTGGAAACCACTCACAGGGACTTGGCAACCACTCACTGGGACTTGGCAAGCACTCACTAGGACTTGGCAACCACTCACAGGGACTTGGCAACCACTCACAGGGACTTGGCAACCACTCACAGGGACTTGGCAAGCACTCACTAGGACTTGGCAACCACTCACTGGGACTGTTGCCTTGTCGTGGCTGAGTGGCGTGTGCGTCCCAGGGACTCCAAGAGCTATGCCGGCGGGAGTGTTTACACCCCCTGGTAGGGCCTCCCAAGCCGGAACGGTCAAGGAGTAGGGTCCAGACTAAAGACAGTCCCACGGCCCCCTAGGCATGGGGGTTAGGCTTAAGGCTAACAACCTTATCCTGTAAAAGAACACATTTCCTGCACGCAGACCTTCCAAGGCCTTCGAACCGTATGACTGCCAGTGGTGAAAGCCAGAAGGAAACTACTGGCATGAAGTTGAAGGTGGAAGTGATGAGTGCAAAAGGCATGGAGGGCGCCCGAAAACAACTTGGCGCAGGACTGTAGAGAACGGACTAAGGGAGCTCAATTACAGCTGGAGCACCATTGAAAAACTGGCTATAGATAGGTGGGGTTGAAAGGATTTCGTTGCTGCCCCATGATGTGCCACACAGGCATGATGGGCAGTAAGCAAGTAAGTAAGTAAGCTTTTGGCAAACGAGCTAGATTTATGAAAGTCACCAATATCCCATGAAGTGTGTCTTCATTGGATGTTTGTGGGCTTTAATTCTCGACAAACGGCATTAGCAGTTCTTAAGGATGTAACGCAACGCTTATCACAGGAAAGCTTTGCGTGACAACCCAGAGAACGGCAGTAAAGAAAATCACCTCTCCACCTCACAGCTTGGTAAATAAGTACCATTGTTTACCTCCAATTCCTTGGGTCGTTATTAGATTTTGCACGATTAAAACATCTTAGGAAATCTTTCAAGATTTTACTTGTTCGTGAATTTGTAAAGTCAAGGCCGGTTAAGTAGGAACTTGAATAAAACACGGAAGACAAATGACACTTATTAAGGACCTTAAGCCAAGCACAATTGCGACGGCATTGAGGTCGTGGCAAAATAACAGATCTTATCGACAGATCAATTGCTCGACACGTGCGTTTAAAACTTTGTACAAGAAACATCAAGCAGCCGTCGGCAGAAAAGCAGCAACGCAAAATTACTATGAGAGCAGAAAATCCCGACGGCAATCTAAGTTTCCATTTGGAACTCAATACTGCCACTCGTGAAGTCCTGACAAAAAAATGTAAATTAATTGATTAATTGACGTCGATCGTGGCGTTGCAGTCCTGACTGCATAAGGTCCCTATTTACTAGCTGCAGTAAGCTGGCTGTCCTCGAGATACTTCAATACGTTATTGGCCGTAGATTCTCAAGAAAGTCGGACTTTGCGTCAACTGGTTAACTGTGGCGTTTGACCATTTGTACAGAACGTTATCGTGTCTGTAATTTATATACTTATGGTGTCCACGTTTAGTTAAAGAAAGAAACATGCTTAGATCTCTGAGGCCAGTGACCCAATTCTGTACGTGAAACAAGCAAAGCATCAGTCAAAGGTATCAATCAACTACGGAAAAAAATAGTGTCAACAATCTTCAACTGCAGCACGCAAGCTCGTTCCGCAAAACCTGAAGGGTAAGCGAACTGAAACTCAGCCTATAAAAATCCATTCAAAAAGGTTTCAGGATTTAGAAGTTTTGGGCAGTAGAAACTGAACATTATGAACGGAGAAGTTATTTCATTCCTAGCAACGAGCGCTTTTCTTTTCCTAATAGCCGTAGGACCTTGTAGGGCTAGTTTCCTCTCCACATCGCTCCAGTTCACCCGCGATGCCTTGATGGGTTTCTCGCATGGATCGGAAAGAAAAGTGGAAATACTCACACCGAAGAAGACGAAAAGGATCATCAGTCTCGGTGAGCAATACGCAGAGAAGCTCACTCAATACCATAAATTGCCGTTTCGATGATTTCGTCTCACTTGTGCGCGACAAAATTTATCTAGAAAAATATATTGCTGTCACTTGTAATAACGAGAAGGAGTTCAGGAACAAATGGAAATTTTTTCTGTAGTTACTCGACAATTAACATGCAAACAATAATGTGGTAAATAGATCAACTGTAATTAAATTTGACTAGTGTAACTGTATTGTTATAGATGTATTGTAAGTAGTGTAAGTTAAAGTAGTTTAAACATGGTGTAAAAAGCAATTATAGTGTAAGTACATGTGTAAGTGTAATAAACATTGCTGTATTAAAAAAAAAAAAAAAAAAAAAAAAAAAAAAAAAAAAAAAAAAAAAAAAAAACTAAGTCAGATAAAATCCGTTCAAGGGAAAAGCGGATCCAGACCTAAAATCCCCTTCCCAACGAAAGCCATCACTCGAGAAGAAATCACTTATTCAAATGAAAGGAAAACTTACAAACCACGCGTCTCACCATCTAATAAGTTCCTCGAAGCCATCAACGACATTGAACGAGCTGTGGCTAAAGCAAAGGCTTCAGGATTTCGTAACAGGAAAGGAACCTTCAATAAATTGAAGGGACTGTTAGCGCGAGCGATAAGAAGCAAGAGCTACAAATATGCTCGCGAAGTTCTCGGCAAGATCATGTATCTCTTAAGCACAAAGTCGTCGGCACCACGACGAAGCAAGAGAAGCACCTCAGGGAGCAATTTCCTTCAAGGTCTACGGAGGCAACTCGGCGCCTCGACGTTTGATAGCTTCATGGCTGTCCAAGGTGACGTGTCACTGATGTTCGCCATTGATACCACAGGAAGCATGGGAGAAGAAATTCAAGCGGCAAAAAACATCGCCATAGACATCATAAATTATCCTCGTAACGCCAGTGTAACGAACTACATTTTGTCGCCTTTCAACGACCCATACCCGGGTACGTAAAATAAAATTGATTGTCTGTTTGTCATTTTAGAATAGATTAACCCGGTGACTTAGGGACCGAACCTTATTTATCACAGAAGGGAGACGGGAGGTGGAGGATATTGGGGAGATCGCGTGGTTTTCAGGGAGAACGGAGGGGGTATCAGTCGCCTCCAATAGAGTACAAAGGGGGACTATAGAAAATGGAAATTAACTGCCACTTAGGGGAGGAAGGGGGAACGTAAGAACGTTACAACGTCTTTTATCGTGACAGAAACAGAATCCTCAAACCCCACCCACCAGTACCAGGCGATAAATGATAACTATATCTTTAGACATAGGTTAAAGTGACATCCGTACCTAGTACGCGATGTGCAAAAAAGATCAGACAAGCTACTCTCTCTTTCAACCTCACGATAAAAATTTGACAATCTTCAACTCTATGATACGTTTCAAGGCCATGCGAGTTAGCTCAAAGTCGTTATTGTTAGTGGCTGATCTTCCTGCCAAGAGGTACTCAAAAACGAGCCTCAGGCGGGAAGGGTGGGGGGAGGGGGAAATCTTTTAGGCCCTTAGCCATTTCTGAAGAAGTGAATTTAAACAAATTTATACCTTAATATTTTACAGTGAAATCGGCAGCCATAGTCAAAGAACAAAGCAATGCTGGTGAGTTCGTAAAAGCCATCAATGCTCTTAAAGCCTATGGCGGTGGGGATTGTCCGGAGTATACATTCAAAGGGATGCTGGAAGCACTCAATCTTATGCCAGAATGGGGATCCCCTATGTACGTCTTCACGGACGCGGGCCCAAAAGATGCTTCAGACCTACACATCGAAGAAGTTAAGTTCTTAGCTGGCTCTGCTGAGTTGGGGGTGACAATTAATTTTTTTACCACAGGTAAAGAAATATAATCATTAGTTAAGTATTTGTATTCTTGTTCGCAAACTATCTGCCAGGGTACATGTCTGACTGACAGACCGTAAGAGAAGACAAGGTATCGTCTCTTGCAGATCTACAGACTGACAAACCGACAGACCGAAAGTCCGACAGAGTGACAGTTAAACTGAACGACAAACTGACAGGCTAACAGACTAAGAGACCAACAGTCCGACAGAGTGACAGATTGACAGAACGACTGATTTACAAACTGGCAGACTAGCAGAGTGACAGACTAACTGATCGATACCCCAACAGACTGACTGGTGAACAGACCTGCAAACCTGCAGACCTAGAGACCTACAGACCGATAGAGTGGTGTATAGAGAGAACCACAGACTTGGCAGACTAACAGACCGACAGTCCAACACTGGGGAGGATCCAGGATGTAGTCGAGGGGGGTTCGGAGAATTGTTCCCCCTCAGAGGGGTTCAAGATTTTGAAAATTAGGTCTTCGGAAAGATGATTTCCAGCGTTCTGAGGGAAAATTTAGGGGGTTCGACCGAACCACCCGAACCGCCCCTGGATCCGCCTCATCAACAGACTGATAGGTGGACATACCAACAAGCTGACAGACCAACAGACTGACAGACCAACA